GTTGAGTTCTTCGCACACCTCTCTGTCATTCTCTGTATACCTGTCCTCGCCTGTTCGAAGTTTCAATACCTGTTCTTTCACTGTTGTTTTCCTTCTGATGTGACTGTGGAGTAGCTTTGGTTCGGTCTTGGCTTTGTTTGCTATATCATTTTCAAAACTTTTCTCTGCTTCTCTTCTCACCCTGACGTACTCATTCCTGGTTCTCTGGTATCTCTCTCTGCTTTCTGGTGTTATGTTATTCCGGAAGTTCCTCCACGCCCTTTTGTTCAGTTTCTTCGCTTCCAGACATGCCCTATTATACCATGGATTCTTCTGTTGCTTCTCGGATTTTTCCCTTTGGGCCGGGATGAACCTGTTTACTGCCTCCTGACACTTTTGGGTAACATAGTCCATCATACCCTGTACAGACTTATCTCTGAGATCTGTGTCCCAAGGTATTTCACTTAGGAAACTTCTCATCTGTTCATAATTCCCCTTTCGGTATGCCAGCCTTTTGATTCCTAGTTCTTTTTTGGGGGAGATAAGTCCTAGCTCTACCAGGTACTCAAAGTTCAATACACTGTGGTCACTCATTCCCAAGGGCGCTTCCATCTTAACTTCCCTTATATCTCACTCATTTAGGGTAAATATCAAACCAAGCATTGCTGGTTCATCTTCTCCTCTCATTCTTGTTGGTTCTTTGATGTGCTGGCTTAGAAAGTTTCTTGTTGCCACGTCCAGCAGCTTAGCTCTCCATGTTTCTTGTCCTCCATGTGGGTCTCTGTTCTTCCAATCTATCTTCCCATGGTTGAAGTCTCCCATAATTAGTAGTCCAGATCCATTCCTGCTAGCAACAGAAGCTGCTCTTTCTATTATGTTAATGGTGGCCATGTTGTTTCTATCATATTCCTGTCTGGGTCTTCTGTTATTTGGTGGTGGATTATATATGACTACGACTATAATTTTTTTCCCTTCATTTGTTACGGTACCTGCTATGTAGTCACTGAAACCATCACAGCCCTGAATATCCATCTCCTCAAAATCTCAGCCTTTTCTTACCAGCAGAGCTACACCACCACCACCTCTTCCTTCCCTCTCTTTCCTCATAACATAATAGTCCTGTGGGAACACTGAGTTTGTTATCGTTTTCGTGATCTTTGTTTCTGTGAGGGCTATTATGTCTGGGTTTTCCTCTAGTACCCGTTCTCCAAGCTCATTTGCTTTATTTGTAATTCCATCTATGTTAGTGTACATCACTTTGAGGCTCACTTTCTTCTGTCCCTTCTCAAATCGCCTCCTTGGTGAGTGTTCTGCTGGTGGGGGAGGCTTTTCCATGGGTGTGAGGACTTGTGAGGTGGATAACAGGGTCTCAGAGGATACTGGGATAAGGGGCGGGGGATCCAGTGAAGGGGGAGGGACAGGGAGGGTACGGGGTGAAAGGGGAGGGAGGACGGAAAGGAAAGGGGGGAAGGGAGGACTCGGGAGGAGGGGAGGGGTAGAAGGGTGGGGATTGGGTGTAGGGGGAGGGAGATTTGGCTGAACATTTGAATGGGGGCAGGAAGGGTTTGGGGTAGGGGTTTTCTATGCAGAGGTGGCGGGGTTGTCCTCCCTTCTGGTGTTACTGGGTAGCTGGTTGTGAGTTCCCCCCTCGCCTCTGGGGGTGTTGTGTTGGGAGCTGTGACTTCCTGGTTTTCCCCTCTCACCCTGCGCCTCTTCCTTGCTTCTGCCACCACGGCTCTCTCCCTTGTCATGTCTCTCTGGGGGAATACATTTTTTAATTTTCCCACGTTTTTCAGGGAGCTCTTCGTTGATAGGATCTTCTCCTTTGTGCTCTCGTTTGCAAACACTATCTTTATCATTCGGTCTCGGTCTTTGTTGTACCAACCTAGCCTGAAAACCTTCTCAATGCTATGCTCAGCCCCTTCCATCTCTAGTGCCTTTAGTACTTCATTCACTGCTGCTTTGTCCTTGTCATTCCACTCTGTCCTATTAGAGCCTTCCTGCTCTTTAATACCCACAGCAACCACTGATCTGTTCCTTTCCAGCAGTTGGCTAGTGGAGCGTGCCGCCTCCTGTGAGGTGGCTGCTTTCATGGCCACCTCCATCACTGCAGTCATTACTTCAGAGTTATTTTCTTTTAGTGTTTCCGCAAATGTTGCTTTTATTGTGGCATTCTCATCCAAAAAATTATTACCACCCTCTCCCTGGATGGTTTTCTGATTCTCAGCCTCGATACCATTCTCTTTGAGGGCTCTAATCTCCTCCTTTGCTGCTGTCAGCTCTCTTTTCAGGTTGCCTATATCGTTCTTCATTTCCTGCATCATTTCTTGCATCTCACTCTTGATGTCCTCCAGAAACTGGGCGAACATTTCCTTCATTTCGTCACCTTGGCTCTTCCCTGTTCCCCTGGTACCTCTGGCTGCCATGCTTGACTCTGTTCCTATAGTTGTGCCGTGATAGGATTTGTCAGGAGGGCAGAGCGGGATGGGGGAGGGAGAGAGAGAGAGAGAGAGGAAGAGAGAGAGAAAGAGAGAGAGAGAAAGGGAGTGATAAAGGGAGAGATAAATGGGTGGGAGAGGGAGAGAGAGGAGAGGGAGAGAGATGGAGAGGGAGAGAGCGGGTGAGGGAGAGAGGGGGGGAGGTGTGTGTGTGTGTGTATGTGTGTGTGTGTGTGTTGTGTGTGTGTGTGTGTGTGTGTGTGTGTGTGTGTGTGTGTGTGTGTGTGTGTGTGTGTGTACTCACTAGTACCGTGTGTGTGTGTGTGTGTGTGTGTGTGTGTGTGTGTGTGTGTGTGTGTGTGTGTGTGTGTGTATGTGTGGGCAGAGAGGGAGGGGGAAGGAAAGAGAGGGAGAGAGAGAGAGAGAGAGAGAGAGAGAGAGAGAGAGAGAGAGAGAGAGAGAGAGAGAGAGAGAGAGAGAGAGAGAGAGAGAGAGAGAGAGAGAGAGAGAGAGCAGGAGAGAGATAGTGGGAGAGAGAGAGAGTGGGAGAGAGACAGAGAGTGGGAGAGAGATAGAGAGTGGGAGAGAGAGAGAGTGGGAGAGAGGGAGTGGGAGAGGGGGAGAGAGTGGGGAGGGGAATAGTGTGTGTATGGGGGATGTGGGGGAAGACTGGGGGTGGCAGGGGCAGAGATGGCAACCAGGTCAAGTCAGGTCAGATGGGGGGGTTAAGAGGGGGGGGGGATAGTAAGGTCCTATCCCCTGATCCCAGGTGTTAATGCCTTTTCCCCTGACTGAATGTTTGTAATTACCTAAGTGTAATTACCTAAGTGTAGTTACAGGATGAGAGCTACGCTCGTCGTGTCCCGTCTTCCCAGCACTCTTTGTCATATAACGCTTTGAAACTACTGACGGTCTTGTCCTCCACCACCTTCTCACTTAACTTGTTCCAACCGTCTACCACTCTATTTGCGAAGGTGAATTTTCTTATATTTCTTCGGCATCTGTGTTTAACTAGTTTATATCTATGACCTCTTGTTCTTGAAGTTCCAGGTCTCAGGAAGTCTTCCCTGTCGATTTTATCAATTCCTGTTACTATTTTGTACGTAGTGATCATATCACCTCTTTTTCTTCTGTCTTCTAGTTTTGGCATATTTAATGCTTCCAACCTCTCCTCGTAGCTTGTGTGTGTGTGCATGTGTCTGTTTTAGCGTGTGCACACTTGTGTGCGTGTATACGTACATGGGCGGGCGTGCGTGTATGTGTCAAGATATCCCTTATGCGTTACCTCTACCTAAATGAACCACCCTGAGATTTTTAAATATATATGATATCCTGAACAAGAATTTGATAATATTTTACCTCAATCTGTACACCTGATTAATTGACCAGAGAGGGGGTACATACCAGACTCCTCCCGCTCACACAACCAGATGAGTAAGGACGATGTATGATGACGATGGTTATCTGTCGTTGTCTTCCACTAGGTGATTCACTAAGTGCTAATAGATTGATGAGGTCAGTTCTTCTCTATCTACATAAAGCTCTGGAGTCAGTCACTGTATCGTTGTGTGACAATTCACGAATTTACTTTACCACTGATCACAGTCATCACTCAACAAACACAATCAGGCAGTTCCCTGGCGGGTCTCCCACCTGGTCTCAGGTCAGGTCACTTCACGCAGTCCTCCACACTTATATGCTCCAGTGATGCCACTAGCTCCACTTTGTTTCTTCGCACTATCGCTAGCGATATGACTATGCTATGTAGCATCCTGCTAGCTACACACTGCGAGAGGCCAAATACTATGATCTAGCCTCTATACTCCTTCAATGTCCCGAGAAATTGACGAATTTCCGCGGACCTCACTTAATCGTGTGTGTCCCCTACCGTCTCCCGGCCTACTACTGTGTGTGTATGTGTGTGTGTGTGTGTGTGTGTGTGTGTGTGTGTGTGTGTGTGTGTGTGTGTGTGTGTGTGTGTGTGTGTGTGTGTGTGTGTGTGTGTGTGTTTGTATGTGTGTTGCTTGACCAGTTCCGCAACGAGGAGGCTTGGTCGAGGATCGGGCCGCGGGGACGCTAAGCCCGGGAATCATCGGAAGGTAACTGCTAGGTAAGGCGTTGCAAATATATATAGTAGACATAACAGAAGGGCAATAAATTGGTTAAAAAGATTTGGTTCAAGAGCTAATAGCTCAACTCTGCAGGCACAAATAGTAAACACAGTAGGATGACTAATTGTAACGGAGCCAACGAGCGAGGATGGCAGGCATTATGAATGCAAATGGTAGAAAAAGTATAACAAAATGAATATTAATATGTAGCTAAATATAAGAACACAAAAATAATACAAACTAATAGAGATACAAGTTGAGTAATATTAGATTAGGATTTTTGTACATACTAGCTTTACCGAGTAACCTAATGAGTCGCCGGACTGTTTAGAGTGGTGGTTAGAAGAATGAGTGAGTTTAGTTAGGTATTAATGTCATCTCCCACACCTGGGCCAACATGCCTTCTGCAGATATATGTTTAGACTCATGTTTGTGATCCAGCGCTACTGACATCTTAACATTGACGACTCACTTCTTAACGTAGACGTTATCCATGATGAAGTCCTCGAAGCCTATCTGCCCCATCACCTCCTGGTCTTCACCAGGACCAACCTTTTGACAAACGCAACATGAAGACGCTGACGGCGCACGACACAAGTCGTCGTCCTCCACGCCCGCGGACTCCTTCTGCGGCGCCGCCTCCTTCACCGTGTGGGTTCTCACAGGCACAGTAGCCTCCACATCCGCGCCCATGACAACTATGTTCTTGTCAACGTAGGCCCTTGCTTAAGAGGCATCGAAAGGTGTTAGTATACTCGAGTATATATGTCGGTGTCATTATACACATGTCTATATATTAACACTTACTACAGTGTTGTGGGGAATTCGTACAAATTCTTGGATTTGTATACGAAGATGTACCCAACTTTCAAACAAATAACAAATCATTTTAATTTTTCGACAATTGAGAATATATTGGTGATGCACATACCTTGAATTTCGTCAATTAGGAACATGCAGCTGCTTGCGTTATCCCCATTATTTAAACATTTATCTATTTATAGCAATCATAAAACTAAACAAAATTATAATGATAAATTAGAACTAATAGATAAAATCAATATTTTTATATAATATATTTAACAGATAATATTAATACAACTAATTACAACAACAGTTATATAAATTCTATACTTGAGAAGAGATGAGCGAGACTGACACTAGTCGCCACCCGGCCGGCCCCAGCTGACTATGGCAAGAGTGGGAGTGGGAGAGGTAGTGGGAGTAAGAGTGGGAGAGGGAGAAGGGGTCGGAAGGGGAGAGGGGGTGGTGGTAGTGAGAGAGTGAGTGGTAGTGGTAGTGGGAGTGGGAGAGAGAGAGTGGGAGGGGGGCCGCCTGCGCCATACGTACTTTCCTGGCTGCAGAAGTCAAGGTCAGGAGGAATCCTTGGGGTGTTGGGCAACAGGGTGAGCGTCACCAGGTAGTGGTCGATGACACCATTGGGGCGGCGGGGCGGCTCCCACCACACTTCCAGGCTAGAGCTGCTTGGTGATGTCCACTCCAAATGTACTGGTTCCGTCGGGTCTGAAGCATTTCTAGTGTGTCAAGATTACTCGCAAGAAACATTTAGAGATCATACATGAAACGTACCAGTGCAAGATATTTCTTGTTTACCTAATGAAAGTAATTAGATCTATGATTTTAGCACAAATCTCCATTTTTGTTACGTTCTTCTTCACTTGGAAAACAAGTTGCATAATTTCTTCCCCAAAGTACATTTACTCGGGTCACTGAACTAGAAGCCAGTACCACAAACAAGCTCCTCCCCTGTAAATAACTACAACAACTTACCAGAAGACTGACGTTAAAGCAGATACAATCGAATTAAACCAAATACTATGAACTCAGCATAGATAAATTCTACTTATCCAACATTTTCAGTTTCAACAAAATGAAGGAATCGTAATGAACTCACAATGGCGTTATACATGGAATTCGTTAATTGAGTGACTTGAACACACTAACTGGTGATTCCCAGCCTTAACCACTGCGCTCCGGTGGTGCAAAAGTTCACAAACCCAGAACTCAACTGATTCCTCTTGGAGGTTCTGGAGGATTCAAACCGGAGCCAATCAGGGTTTGACAGCCATCCCGACCACAAGAGTGGGATGGCTAACAGCCATCCTCGACCATGTGGTCGAGGATGTATGTGAAACCCTGGTTGGTTTGGGTCCTCCACAACCTCCCAGAAGACTCAGTAGAGTTCTGGGTTGGTCAACTTTTGTACCACCGGGGCCCAGGGGTTAAGGTAGGCGGGAATGTCAGCACTGTGGAGAAATGCCCGACAGACCATTGGAACATTATCTAACACAGTGCACAGTTACAAACCCAATAAGATTTCAACTTAGATGCACCAGAGCAGAAGAAGTTGTTAAACACATGGGGCAAAATCTTACAGAAGCGACCATACGAGTCATAAATACTCACACTACGTTAAGTAAAACAGAAACAAACAACACTTAGTGTGCCAGCCAGAGGCTTAGGGCTCGCACAGGAATTTCCTTGAAAAAAGGCAGGCGTTTGGGAATCACCAGGTCGCGAGATCCTTTTAAAGACAAAAATGTAAAAGTTATGATCTTACTATAGCAACAGTTTCTCCATTTTTCGCTAAGCAGATTTGCAGTGCAAAGTTTAAGTTTAAACATCTTATTAAAACTCACATCATAAACGTTATATGAAAACCTCAACATATAAACTTACTTCATTAATCCACAATGTTGGAAATTTGGGTCCTCATATTTTTTTCGCTGTTTTGCAAGTTAAAATAGGACATGAATGAGTATTAGACACAGGATAATCTCTGGGGTTTAATCCAATAACCAAAGATTCAATCCCCCTCCAAGCTCTCCGACCACCAACCCCTCACCAACCCCTCAGTCTATCAGTCCCTCTCCACCCCATCATTCCACCAGTCCCTCTCCATCCCCTCATTCCATCGGACCCACTCGAAATCCTCAGTCCATCAGTCCCTCTCCAACCCCTCAGTCCATCAGTCCCTCTCCAAGTCCTCAGTCCATAAGTCCCTCTCCATCCCCTCATTCCATCAATCCCTCTCCAAGTCCTCAGTCCATCAGTCCCTCTCTAACCCCTCAGTCCATCAGTCCCTCTCCAACCCTTCAGTTCATCAGTCCCTCTCCAAGCCCTCAGTCCATCAGTCCCTCTCCAAGCCCTCAATCCGTCAGTCCCTCTCTAAGCCCTCAGTCTACCAGTCTCTCTCCAAGACCTGAGTCCATCAGTCCCTCTCCAAGCCCTCAGTCCCTCCCAAAGCTCTCAGTCCATCAGTCCCTCTCTTTGACCTCAGTCCATCAGTCCCATTCTAAGCCCTCAGTCCATCAGTCCCTCTCCAAGCACTCAGTTGGTCTTCAAGCCCTCAGTCTATTGGTCCCTTGCAACACCCTCAGTCACTCTTCAAGTCCTCAGTCCATTAATACATCTTCAAATCCTCAGTCCATCAGTCTCAATCGCGCCCTCTATTTGCCTTTATTAAAATAAAATTCTCTATCTTTTCCGTCGTCACCGTTGTTGTAGTGGAAATAAAAGGCCTTACTAGGAAAAAATGAACATAGAATTAACTAACATCCAATGGGGCACCGTCTTAAATACCAAACTCCCTCACAAGGAATAGAACATTTGACGGTCGAAGAGAACAAATTCTGCTTGAAATATGTTTCTTTGCTGAAGATCAAAAAGAATACTTAGAAAGACAACGTAGACAACACCTTAGAAAATGAAAAAATAACCAAAATGCTTAAGCAGGTATACTATTTCAGGAAGAAAATGTAATTTAAACAGAAACTGTAGCGATTATACCAGGCAGAATAAATTCAAATGTAACATAAAGCATACACAAGAAAAAATTAAGTATATTTTCTCACAAATACAAAACCAAATTGAACTCTCCACAAATATTGGACCTATTCCTTCAAGAGGATATTCATGCACAGAAGATGGCAAAGAAATTAGTGACATCCTAAAATAACAGTTTAGCATCCCAGAAGATGATGATCCAGACAGCTTTTTATGAACGATATTCACAACTCTGGCAATATAACTAATATTAACATAAGTACAGCAAACTTTGAAAGGTAAATTGACTACCTGCCCATGCACTCAGATTCGAGCCCTGATTTCTGGAACCCAATATTTATAAATAAATGCGAAGTACAGTTGCAGGAGCAGTTACTGTAATATGCCTGAAATGTTCGGCTTATTAGTGGCCTTATGTATTGTCTCTTTCCTTTAAATTCGCCACTGCTCATGCATCATATGTATGTACTCTTACATAAATAAAATATTATGGGATACTCGTGAGAAGCACTTAAATCTACAGATACAGCTACACTTAACAAGAGTGGAGATAATGAACATCACAACTCCGGGCTGTGTGACCTACCTTCGCATTTATTCAATAATTTTGACAAAATCATCGAATCATTAAAAAAATTATGCAAATGTTGTATACACGGACTTGAGATTATGAGTATGGAGTAGTAGCCCTTAAAATGAGGTCCAAAGGAATAACAGATAAAGTACGAAGATTTACACTAAGCTTCCTGTCAAACAGAATGAAAAATAGCATTCAAACAAAATTAAGTCCGAGCACAGTGAAAAGTTCGGTGCCCCAGAACACCCACCAGGGGCCGGTGCCCCAGGGTACTGGTGCCCCAGGGCTCCGGTGGCCCAAGGCTACGGTGCCCCAGGGCTCCGGTGCCCCAAGGTTACAGTGCCCCAGGGCCCCGGTGCCCCAGGGTACCAGTGCCCTAGGATACTCTCCTTTCTCTGCTACTTATCAGATATAAACAAAAACGCAAGTTACAGTTTCGTCCCATCGATTAAAATAATTAAAACGCTAAAAAGAATTACAAGCGATTAAAAGATTACCTTAAGAATTACCTTTGTAAAATATATTGAAAAGCTGCAATCTAATATCAACAAAGTCTTTGATTGGCAACACATTATAACATGATTTTTACCAATAATACATTCCTGATTCTAAGATATGGTAAAAATTAAGAACTTAAACGTATGCAAGATTCAAGACACAATCAGGTCTCATAGAAGGAAAGATACATGCAACTGATCTGAGAAAAATAGCGTCGGTATCCTAAAGTTTAGTGAATATAACAAAGCAAGCATAGAAACAGGCAGGAAAATTATTATGAGATCCTTCAAATCCAGGGAATGCACCACATTACTCCAAGTTTTCAAATCCCTTGTGTTTCCTGCCTTCAGTACTGTTCAGTACTCTCTTTCCCGCTCAAGGTAATAGAGATATCTGAAGTAAAGTGACGCACACAGTGTAAATCACCTAAATTATCTGCAATGTTTCAAATTTCACAATACGTATTCTAGAAAAAGAGTAAATAGAGGAATCCCATATATACATGGTAGATAGTTGGAGGCCAGGTCTTACATTTGCAAAATTTAATATCAAACTTCTGGAACAAGATATATGGTAGGATATTCCAAACAGATCTAGTGAAGAGTCGATGTGTTAAACACAATCAGAGAACACTATGTGAAAATCAGAGATCCGCGACGCATCAGTAACCATCAAACAAAATATTACGGGAAGAAAAATAAATGTGTTCCTGAAACAATTTGGCAAGTTTCTGAAGGAAGTGCTAGACCAAGCGGATTGCAATGAACATGTGGGCCTGTGAGTAGTTCCAAGCAACAGCCTTTTAGATCAAGATATCAAAAGATAAGCCTGATCACAGGCTTAAGGAGTAGAACAACTCCCAGGTCCCTTCTCACTATTCTAAAGGAAGATTCGATGTTCTTTTTCTGATAATATCCTCACTGCAGTCATCCTTCATGACTAGTTCTGACTTGATGCAGTAGTGCAGCAATACTGGGCTGGTGTAGTGTGGCTCTCACTCACATAAAATATAAAAAGTTGCTTTGGCCCTTGTAGTGTGTAAGTGGCAGGATGAAACAAAAAACAGATTAAAAAAAAACTTTACTATATAATAATTAATATAAAATATAACGGTTCCTGCAAACACTTGGATATCATAGCAGAACAAACAAAACAAGCAAATGAAATCATTAATATGAATACAATACAATGTTATACTGGTGAGCTGAAGACATCCACCATACCACCACAGCGTCCGACACACGACGTAGGCTGGCACCAAAAGAAACAGTGATGACCCCAAGAGCACCAGAGAGAGAGACTGGCTTCCATGGGTTGCCGGGAACTATTTATACCCCGCTGGTAATGATTTCACATCTTGTGTCAACATAAGCAGTAACAAGTGGCTGGCGGTTACTGCTAGTTAGCAACTTCATCACAACTGAGTAGAGTCTGTATAACAGCCAGTTAGAGGTGGGAAACTGCTTGGTAGAGAGGGCAAGCTGCTTGGTAGAGGAGGCAAACTGCTTGGAAGTTGAGGCTAACTGCTTCTTTGTGGAGACGCTCTGCCTGCCGGTGAGCCGTACCAGGCACTTGGTGGTTCAGTGTGGTGGAGCGTGTGGCAGGTCATATGACTCATCTTGGCTGTCATAGAGGTGGACTT